TCCTAGTGAAAAAATTGCTAAAATAACTTTTGGAGAACTGCATTGTCGATTGCAAAAAAACGCCGAAAAATTAGCGAATCAAAGCTGAAATTATCAATGGTGATCAAACGATGCTGAAATTTTGAGTCTGGACGATTGCGGACGGAAAAAAAGCATGTTAGAAAACCGCGTTTGTGTCTGCATTTTGTACGATCTCATTAGTTTTATTTTTGGCTCAGGCTATGCATATACATGTTTCTCCAGCCATACATCAACGCCTAATTGACAGGAAGTATTTTAGAAGACAAAGTGACACTAAACGCTCTCTAATTACCGGCAGTCGCAGTTGCCCGCTTTTCATTTCGAATCTGTTGGCTTTTTCAAAGTGATTTCGACTTTTTTTTCTTCGTTTTCTCAATTTAATAGCTTTTCAGCACTGGCATACGGGGATACAAGGCATTACAGGTACATTTGTTCAACGTTTAATCGACCGATCAAGCTTCAAATTGGTCTACAACTTAAAAAAAATGCATGGTTTAGTGCAATCGTGTGGTCGGGTTTTAGTTTTTTCATCCAATCGAAGCGCGATTTTTGATATTTTACTGTCCTGATTTTCTCCTGCTGTTTAAGCGCGATTCTAAAAATGAACGTTTTGTGGCAAAACGGGCTCTCTTTAAAATATTCGTAGCTCTAATCTGGCCGAAGCAACAACCTTAAATCTTGCAGGACATAATAGACACTTCAATCTGCAAGTTGAGGAATTTTCATTAAAATCGCACTACATCGTGATTTTTCCCACTGTTTAAACGGGGTTGTAAACTTGAATATTTTCTCGCATCGACGCGCCCTTCTTAAACAATTCGCAGCTACTAATCTGGGCTAAGTAGAAACCTGGAAGTTTCCCAGGGTACAGAAGACACTCGGGTCTAAGAACAGGGGGATTTTCATCAAAATCGCCCCAGATCCCGATTTGTTTCTGCTCTTTGAACTGCAATTTAAAAATGAACGCTTCCTTGCAAAAAGGCGCTCCTTAAAAAGCCGTAGCTTCTAATCGGGGGGCAGTGGAAACTTGAAAGTTTCACAGGGTATAGTGGATACTTGAGTCTCAGAATTGAGGAATTTTGATTCAAATCGCACCAGATCCTGATTTTTCCTGCGGCTTAAACGCGAAAAAACGTTCAATTTTTTCCGTCGGTGCATAATTCATCATTTTTAGAGGATAATCTACTGGCAAAAGCACAAAAAATACTCAGCTCGGTTCAGAGGGAAAACCGTCATTTTTTACATGAAATTTTAAATATTTTAAAAACGGTTAGACTTAGGTATAGGTAGGATGGTTTACACGAAATAAATTTCGAATTTCGGGTAGAATTTAAAAATGCTATAATATAGATACCGATCGTTTGCTGCATGAATAAAATTCAAAAGAAATTCCTGGGTTCCAGTCAATTTTATTGTTTACCATTTAAAATGTTTCTTCTAGAAACAACCATACATACAAACTGATGATGGTGGAGAAAAACACCGAAACGTTTTTGTGACATTTTAAATGGTAAACAATAAAATTGACTGGAACCCAGGAATTTCTTTTGAATTGAGTTGAAATACAGTCAGGAGAATAGTATGCACAATGCATGAATAAATACATGTTTTTGTTTCTGTGACGCGATTAAAATACTTACCGTATAAGTTGTTTTTGTCACATATGGACGCCGAACACTCGACACTTTCGTCCCTTTCGACTGGCGCGATCGCAGAAAAACCAGCAAAACCAACCGATTCCGAACTAGTGTTCACACATTTGGCACTATTCGCACTGTCCGTAGAAAGAAGCGACTCGATTAAGAAGTTCGTGGACTTGATTGACGAACTTTTGCCATTCTCAGTCATGTGAACCGACATCGTTTTTTCGTTCAATTTGAAGCCGATTTTGGGGTTCGCTCGGTATATGCGGTGCACAGATCACAACAATCTGGCAAACTAATGAGTCAATTCTGTAAACAGGCAACGGAAACTAATTTGGAGGTTGGTCGGGTCCGACCAATTGGGTCTTAGGGGCGGGGAGTGAAGGATGATTAGGATCCAATCATGGCAGAGCGGTGGGCGGGACCAGCTGCGGTTGGTTGGACAAAAGAAGTGGCCATTGGCGCGCGAGATTACGCGACTCATGGGCAAGAACGGGACGAATAAAAGTGCAAATCGACGAATTAAGACGCAAAACTTTGAAATAGCGCTTTTTAAATCAGTTTTCCATGAAAATATCTTGGGTTTTCTCATTTTCCAATCGCTTTATACAAATTTTTATCTTCTCCGTTTCTCTGTCACCGTTAAACCTATGCGATTTTCGTCTAATTTGCTTTAATGCTGCGCTCCCTTTGGCTTCACGCACGAAGTATTCAAAGAGAAGCTTCAGACGCGGAAAAATATTTGAAAATGCGCAATTTTTCCTTAGTATTAAGGAAGCTTAGTTTGTTTTCGAGCATTTTTTGAAGGGGAAACGACGTTAAAACGGAATAGGTATATACAGGATGCCACGAATAAGTGAGCAATCTCGCTGGCCAGGGGCGGATCCAGCTTTAAATTCAGGGGGGGGGGTTATGTAGAAAAAATACAGTATTCTGTTGTCTATGAAATCAGAAAAATTATCGTCGTTTTGTGCAAGGGTGGCGTAAGATTATTGCGAAATTTCATGTTTTCCGTCCCGTTTTTGCTCATATCTCGGAGGCAAAATGAGCAAGAACGCTCATTTGTACGTCATTCTAGGGAGAAATAAATGGCCTTTTTAGAAAGTAAACCATCGATAAGGAAATATTGGCAGTTTTCTCAAAAAATGCTTGAATTCAAGAAGTTTTAGATTTGCGTGGTTTTTTTGAGTTGCAAAATCCACTTGAACATGACGCTGCTTTTTTAGAAGTTTCTCAAGAACCATTCGAGCCACAGAATTCGTTTCGGCATCGTTGGATAGAGAATTGAAAAGTCGATTCAGTCGTAACAACGTGAGTGAAGAAATTCGAATGGTTTTGGCCCAGAAAGCAAAATTTGAATATCAGACACTTAGGTGCAAGATTATGCCAAAATTTCATGTTTTCCGTCCCGTTTTTGCTCATATCTCGGAGGCAAAATGAACAAGAACGCTCATTTGTACATCATTCTAGACAGAAATAAATGGCCTTTTTAGAAAGTGAACCATGGATGGGGAAATGTTAGCAGTTTTCTCAAAAAATGCTTGAATTCAAGAAGTTTTAGATTTGCGTGGTTTTTTTTGAGTTGCAAAATCCACTTGAACATGACGCTGCTTTTTTCGAAGTTTCTCAAGAACCACTCGAGCCAGAGAATTCGTTTTGGCATCGTTGGATAGAGAATTGAATGGGGAGAGGTTATGACCCCCCCTGGATCCGCCCTTGCCTCTGGCTCAGATAGCCGAGAAGAAATAGAAGTAGGTACTTACTCAGAAAAAATATTTATTCCTTTAACCCTTTAACACTGAGCCCAAGTATTTTTGCCACCGAGTACTAAATGAACAGCAAGCTGTAGTTTGCTGTTCATCTTACGCATCGGCAATCGTAACTTCAACTTCGACTCCCGGTTCCAGGTTGATCGACGTGATTTGCTTAACGATTTCAGAGGACGAATGCAGATCGATCACGCGCTTATGGATCCTCATTTGGAAGCGGTCCCAAGTCTTCGAGCCCTCACCACATGGCGTCTTTCGGGTGGTGATGCGAAGGATTTTGTTGGGCATTCGCACCGGCCCCTTGACACGCAGTTTCTGCTTCTTTGCAGCATCGATCAGATCGGAGCAAACCTTCTCCAACGATTTCACATTGCGCGACGTCAGAGTGATCCTGATGCGGTGAATGGGGGCCGTCTCCTGTCCGGGCTTTTCGGGGTTGACTTCCTTGGTGGCCTAAACAAGTCCACGTTCATTTCGACTCAACCATCGTACTGTTCACTACTTTAACAAGACTTACCATTGTGTTTTCTGGTCGAGGTAAGTAATCAGCGCTGAACCAGAAACTATTCTGATGCTCTCGCGACAAAGGTTGAAGGAACGTGTTACACGTTGTCAAGTTAGAGGTTAACTTTTGCTCGCGTTTTTGCCAGGCTGCCACCCAATCGACTGGATTTGGGTGGCAACACTGATGGCGCCCACTTTAATTTAGTGATGGGTCATGATCCGCATTCACTATTTATTGCATCATGCACAAAACTCTTGTGAGGAATACATGCCTTCTCCCCCATTTATCCCACTAGAGGACGGCAAATACGAAAAGTCGCCATGTAAAGCTAATTGGGCACCTTTGCTGAAGACTATCGATTTAATTCGATCCGGTCCATCACTACTTTGCGCATGTTAAATTTACGTGTCTCCTGACAGCAAGTTTGACGGCCGGTAATTAGTTTTCTTCACCGCTTTGCCTAGTGTATTTGCATGAGCCAATCTCCTATCTTAGGCTGGATTTTCGCCTAACAAGCTGAATTGTTAACTGACTGAAAAACTAATCACAGGTATGACCGTATTTGGGGCCACGGCCGAATTAATCGGGGCTCTCAGTTGGCTGATGGGCAACCTAACCTCAATCGAACATATTTTAGGTGAAAATGCCACTGTCCTGTCGCTTTTACAAGGAAATATACCCCGAAGTGGAGGATGTAGTCATGGTAAATGTAAGGGCCATTGCTGAAATGGGCGCCTACGTTCACCTGCTCGAATACAACAACACAGAGGGGATGATTTTGCTGTCTGAGCTGTCCCGAAGACGTATCAGGTCCATTAACAAGCTGATCAGGGTGGGTAAGACGGAGCCTGTGGTAGTCATCAGGGTGGACAAGGAGAAGGGATATATTGGTAAGTTGTTGAACTAGCAAAGCACTACCGCCCCAGAAATTCAACGAGACTTAATTGAGAACGTTATTAACTATTGCGTTTGAGTTATAAAAGTTTTCGTATTTTAACTAGATCTATCCAAACGACGAGTCAGCGCTGAAGATGTAGAGAAATGCACCGAACGTTTCGCAAAAGCGAAAGCGGTGAACTCAATCCTCAGACACGTGGCTGAGTTGCTGCGATATGAGTCTGATGAGCAGCTGGAGGAGTTGTATCAAAAAACTGCCTGGCACTTTGAGGAGAAGTACAAGAAGAACAAGGCCTCGGCTTATGAGTTTTTCAAACAGGCTGTGCTGTAAGACCGGGCCACAATTATCAACCAATTGATTTCTAAACGATTGTTTACAGCGACCCGAGCATACTGGCCGAATGCGACTTGGATGACCGAACGAAAGAAGTGCTGCTCAGCAACATTAAGCGTAAGCTCACGTCTCAACCGGTGAAAATCCGAGCAGATATTGAATGCGCCTGCTACGGCTACGAAGGAATCGATGCAGTCAAAGCTGCCCTGAAGTCAGGCCTGGCTTTATCCACAGAGGAGCTGCCGATTAAGATTAACTTAATTGCCCCACCTCTGTACGGTAAGTGGCTTGAAGCAGCCAATGGAACATCTACTAAGAAAATTTCCATTCAGTTATGACAACTGCCACTCCAGAGAAGCAAGACGGTCTGAAAGTGTTAAACGAAGCCATTGAAGTGATCAAGAAAACCATTGCAGAACTAGGAGGAGTTTTCGACATTCAAATGGCTGTAAGTTTCTTAGTTGGCTGTATGTGGGTGGCTCAATTGACTTGATCGTTTGCAGCCGAAAGTGGTGACGGCTACTGACGAAGCCGACTTAGCCAAGCAGATGGAAAGAGCCGAACTAGAAAACACCGAAGTCGCTGGCGACGACGATGATGAGGAAGACGAAGAAGGCCAGGTAGGGTCCAAAGTTTGCTGTTCGGTTCCCCGAACTGTATTGACGTATGTTGCAGGTCTACAGCGAAGGCGAAGAGGGCCAAGAGAACGGTGAGGACGGAGGCAACACCGACGAAGAGGACTAGACGGTCTTCGCCTAGATCTTCTTAACTAAATATTTGATTTTTGACTACTTTTCGATTTTTTGAATGCTCATTAAGCCCATTTTCTACCACAAAGTAATAAAGTATGACTATATTGATGCGTTTGGGTTAAACGAGACATCTATGTACAATCCGCACGTGCTCCAAGCAAAGATTGGCACAATTGATTAGTATTTTGAGTGGTAAGTATATAATATATTAACGCAGCTTCTCATATTTATTCATATTTTCATAGTGAAAGCAATAAATATTTGTTTTATTATATTCTCCTGCTTTTATATTGCTCTCTCTATCTCTATTTGGAATTCTCTCTCGCGTAGTGTGGGCAAGCGTCTAGGTAGACGGCACGTCCTGTCACTTCTATCGATTGCGACGATTCGAACCAATCAAATAAGCCTACCGGTTTGTTGTTATCGATGACCAGTTCTACAAATGAGTTAAGACGATTTAAGGTTAGGTGGTTTTGTTTATTGTTTGATGATAATTATTTATAATTTGTCGAGATAAACAACCGCGAGTCCGCCAATCATTTTTTTTTATTCTCGTGCATTCCGAACCTTATATAAGCTCTAGATAAAAATGACAAACAAATAGTATCGTACAGAAATGCATAGGTAAATTTTTGCATTAGGTAAAAGACTAGTAATTTTTAATTTTTTAAGAGGGATTGTTTGAATTTGTTGGAACAAAAATAATAGCATTGCCTTTACATTAGCACAAAGAAAGACAGTGATAATTATGAGTATTTCTTAATTTATAACAATTTACAAATGATTTATTCTGATCAACTTAAATAGGTATTAGATTTTGCATTCGTAGTATTTAAGTAAGCAACTTAAACCATTAAATAAATCTCCTAAAAAGTTTGGTTTATTGTATATTTGACAGTGTATTGAATATCCTTACATACATGGATACATTTATATGGATAGTTTTCAAATTAGTAAATACATTCCATAGATTTATTATATCAGTAAAACTTGACATTAAATACTAAAAATGTATTATTGTTAAAATATTTAAAATTTCTGATTACAAATCCTAATATTTTATATGCCTGATATAATGAAATTAATTCACATAGTACTACCTACTAAAAAGTCGAACTGCGTTGTTGGTATTCCACTTTTGTTGGAATAGTGTAAAAAGGCAATTATTTTCATGTGTTGCTTAGTGTGACAAGTTAAACAAAAAGTAAATGGAAACAGAAGATACCAGCAATTCTTTTGCTTAATATTTCTTGACTCTTACAATAGTAATTTTATTTTTTCTGTTTCTTTAAAATAAAAAAATCGTTGATAATCTGTTTTAATTAAATTTGCACGTTGTACATAGGAAAATAACTTAAGCCAACTATCTATTTGCTCAATAATACATTTTTATGATTAAAACGCCCCATTTGGTGTGCATAATATATAGAGTAACGTTAAAAAACACATCGTTAAGTTGTTCTAAATCAAACTTTATAAGTCCAATAGTTTTATCAATATTAATTAAGTTAACAGTCAAAGTCCAACACTATATTAATAAAATCGAAAGAGTTTAGGGTTACAACAAAATGCCGGGAAAAAATCACCTAACCTTAAATCGTCTTAAATAATAACAAGCCGCTAGGTTCGAATCGCCGCGATCGATAGAATTGACAAGAAGTGCCGCATACCTAGACGCTTGTAAAATAGAAAAGAAGAAGAGTATTAGACAAACCTCATTAGAGTTTTTTTGCGCGTAGGCTTGTGGCATGTTTGCGTTTATTTCCCACAACAATTCTCCCAGAAGTAATTGTGTGTTTTTCGAACCGGCATTGACAAATCAGTTGGTGAGCTCGCATTGTGCCCGCAGTTGCCAGTTAGAGATTCATCGAACGTGATGCTAAACTCGTCGGGCGGCAACATGTCCCAAAGTGCAGGGCAGGGCTCCGGCGAAGGCTCCAAGTCCAGTGCCAGCTTGAAGCCCAACTACAACCTGAAATTCACATTGGCCGGCCACACCAAAGCCGTGTCTTCAGTGAAATTCAGCCCGAATGGCGAGTGGCTGGCCAGTTCCTCTGCAGACAAGCTGGTGAAAATTTGGGGCTCGTACGACGGCAAGTTCGAAAAAACTATCAGCGGCCACAAGTTGGGTAAGTCCTTGTGCATGTAGTACTAGATTTGGCGTTGATTTTCCACCCTCGACTGCAGGTATAAGTGATGTGGCCTGGTCAAGCGATAGTCGCCTTCTAGTCTCGGCTAGTGACGATAAAACGTTAAAAATCTGGGAACTTGCCTCCGGCAAGTGCCTGAAAACGTTGAAGGGCCACAGCAACTATGTGTTCTCGTGCAACTTCAACCCACAATCGAACCTGATCGTGTCGGGCTCCTTTGACGAGTCAGTGCGGATCTGGGACGTCCGCACTGGCAAGTGTCTGAAAACGTTGCCGGCCCATTCAGACCCAGTGAGTGCGGTCCATTTCAATCGAGATGGCTCCCTAGTGGTCAGCAGCAGCTACGATGGCCTTTGCAGAATATGGGATACGGCGTCCGGCCAATGTCTGAAGACTCTAATTGATAACGACAATCCCCCAGTTTCATTTGTCAAGTTTTCGCCCAATGGAAAGTACATTTTGGCCTCGACGTTGGACAACACTCTGAAACTGTGGGACTACGCAAAGGCCAAGTGTCTGAAGACCTACACGGGCCACAAGAACGAAAAGTATTGCATTTTCGCAAACTTTTCTGTGACTGGCGGCAAGTGGATAGTGAGTGGGTCGGAGGACAATATGGTCTACATCTGGAACCTGCAGACTAAGGAGATTGTCCAGAAGCTATCGGTAAGACGCAGCAGCAAGCCGGCGAAGCCCCAAAGGCAAGGAAAGTAATTTTCGTTTTTCTCCCTCATGTTTAGGGCCATACGGATGTGGTTCTGTGCACCACCTGCCATCCAACTGAAAATATCATCGCATCTGCAGCTTTGGAGAACGACAAGACAATTAAGCTGTGGAAAAGCGACACGTAAATCGCAACAAAAGTTTTTTGTCTGGAAATCTTGTTTGTGGTGTAGCCAGTTTTCGTTTTTGTGGTAATTTTACAAACTCTTCGAGTATTTGGTGAGTGTTGTTCTAGTGCTTGGGACAGTTTTTCATAGGCTGCAATGGAGCAACATTTCTATTTTTTACAACTTTTTAGCAATCGTTTTAGTTTCCGTTTATATCTTCCATTATCGTTATTTACATGTTGCGAAAGTGAGCGAAATGCCACTTTGCGCATAGTGTTACTGACAAAATATCCGTATTTCATTAGGTCTAAGTTTCGGCAATTTACGCTCTTGAGTAATTGCGTACTAGTAGGAAATAAGTATTTTTGTATTGCAGATATGTATGCTACATGACCGCCACTCGGGCTTTATTTTGATCGGCAAACTTTTAATTTTTCAATAGCATTGAATGGTATTGTAACTGGTCCAATAAAGTCGAACATTTGCCTCATTTAGTTCGACTTTGACTCCTGCGGTGCCTCTTCAGAACACAATCCGGCGCAATAACGCTTAATAACGAGGTGTTTATTCCAAAGCCTGGATGTGTTCAGCATAAACTAGGTAAGCATTATAATTCTCAGCCCTGTTAAACACTCTTAAACTACGCATTTTTTCATTGAACCATATGAATACTGCAGGATTAAACAGGCTGAATTTCATGTTTATGTCCGGGCCTCAAACGTGGTTTTGTATGCGAATGGCAAAGTGCAACATAAGTACCTTTGAGCACAAGATTATTTTTCGCATTCACCTTTTTGTCTGTTTTTAGGAAGGTAGGGATTTCTGCTGGAACTTAATTGGAAAAAGGCACTTTCGCAGAATCCTGCATGGTGAGTACAACCTTGGTACAGCTCAAAACGGTCGGTCTCCCAACAAAAGAGACTTTAAATAAAAACATTTATCTGTCCTTCTAACCCGAGCGTACAAATTGCAATTTCGGCCCTCTTAAATCTACCAAACTAAACTGCTCAACAACATGAACGTTACACAGTCAAATTCGCCCTAACTTTGGACGTGGATAAATTCCGATTGTTTACAGCGATTTGGTCGCTCTAGCCGAAAAACAATTGCACCAAAAAACGCTTCAAACAGAAATTTGTCCATGTAACGTCTATTTTGTCGGGAAGTTTAGACTGTTTTGGTGCACCCTTGCGGTTCCCATCGGGTTCAACTTGCAGGAAACCGAACCTAGACATTCGCAGGACGCATCCGCGTCCGGTTTCCCCAAGTCAAAATGCCCCAGTTTGAGGAAAAAATTGCAAAATCAGTCTTGCCCCCGCGCCTATTTACAAGTCGCTGGTGTTGGGCGATTTCCTGCGCACGTACTTGTTGAAGTAGTCCGGGCGCCAACACTTGCAGGAGCCGGGAATGAGGAACCAGTCGTAGTAAAGGCGCACTTGGAAACAGCCGAGGGCGTCAATGCCGTCACAATGATGCGGCCGCACAGTTGCGCTTCCTTCCGGTTGAACGCCCGCCCTCTTCTGCAGGTATTGCTGGTAATTCTGCAATTTATTTCAATTATTATATTATGAAAATAGCTTGCAGTGCGACCACGCTTCACCCTCATTCGGATGTGAATCTGTGATCTAACTCACCTGAAAGTCCTGCACTGGAGGAGGCTGCGCCCCAGTAACCGGGTTCCGTTGCGGATTGGTGGCTTCACTGCCACTCAGCACCGTATCCGGATAGTAAATCTCCGCAACCAACAGGCTGGACCATCGGGGCGAAGCCAAACAGCCCCCATCTAGATAATGGCACCTGGACTGCAGGCATCTGGTCACCTCGACCGTCTGAGTAAAGTAGCCCTCATAGGGAATCTGGACCACGTAGCGCCACGTGCCTTGATAATTTTTGGCGAAAACGGGCGTCGCGTACTCCACTTTGGCTGGACAAGGCGTCGGTGGGCCTTCGTAGCGCTGGGCGACGCCTTCGTCGCGACGCTCGATCGGCAGGTGCTGCGCAGACGAACTCGAAGGCGTCTGCGTGGATTCGCCGTTGATTACGTTGTAGAGGGTGCAAAAAATGCCGCCCTGGTCGCAGAACTTGCGGGACTGGCGCTCCGTGGGTTGCGTAGAGCTCGGGACCGTTTGGTTGGGAGCGGCAGCTGCCGCCCGCTTCTCCCTGTCGCTCCGGTCGTTTATTTCATAAGGGCCGATGCTAAAGGGGGCGCTCAATGTCGCAATATTGTCGAATATTCACTGTAGACTCACTTACGAATTTTGGGCGACCGCGTCCTCCTGCAATTGGGCGACTTTGGGCAACGTTTCGTCCGCCTTCAGTATCGGCAGCGTGCGACTAAGGTACTTCAATGTCATGTTGCGGATCAGCTCACTACAAAACCAACAAAAAACAGTCGGTTTGTATCAAAGACCCTCCCAATGGGCTTACAAAGGATAGGGCGAGCCCAGCACATTCTGCCTCATGGGGTTCCTGGGGATGGTGCCCTTGTTCAGGTCGCCGCACAAATTGAAAACTGAACCCTGGGGCGACCTGCTTGCGTCCTCCGGACAGTCCACAGGCGTGAAGGAATAGGGCGGCGGGCGCACTCGCGGCGGCTCCGCATTGGGCGACTCCACAAACGCGTAGTACCCTTCCGGGGGCTCATCCGCCCCCTGGGCGCCTCTCAGCCAGGCGCAGAGCAGCTGCAAGCAGACACCAAGTAGTGAAAAGCATCGGAATGCGGGCTCAGCGGGCCTTCGAATTATTGTTTTGACCCAGAAGTGCTCGCACGCACCTGAAAATCGACTCATCCGCTCGGATTTCCATCGCTGACCCAGATCCGCCGACCTTGGCCATGTCTTAGAGGTCGATGCCAGTGCTTTATGCTAATTCTGTTAGCCAATCGGCCACTTATGGGGGCATTTGCCCGCTAGAGTTTCCCGAACTCGCGATTGGGAAAACTTCCGCTTTTGCCCTTGAGAAACTCTCGTGTTTACTACGCGTTATTGACGCGTTGCCTAGCAACGCCTGTCGGATGTTAACTAAATCTAGGGATTTCCATTTTATGCTTGTAGATGTGGCGGCAGTGTTTTTAGGCGTGTGAGCTCCCACTAATGGGATAATTTTTTGCCAAAATCTGACAGACGAATACGTTTAATATAACAAAGGTATAATATGAAAAGCTCACTTGGCACTGATAGGCAATGTAGCAGCTATTAATAAGGAAAAATCGCTGTTTTCCTGGGAAAAGTGTCTTAGGTTGGCTAACATTGCAGAGTGACAGGAAGTTTCATTGACCCCTGACTTTTACTTTTGCAACTGTCAAGTAGTTCTTCATAGTTTAGACTTAAAATTTTATTTTATTCTATTCATGATGCAATAAATTAGCTAAATTGGCCGTTTGCGTCAAATTTGGTCGAAACTGCGTGTAGTTTAGTGTTTGAAGTTGAGTGTGAGTTATTGGACACTCTCATGGGACTGCACTGGGCAGTTTACGCGCAGACAGATTTGAGGGTAAGTTTATTGGGCTAATTTGCCCAAACCAATTTAGGGTAGATTGTATTGACCGAAATTTAAAGGTGCGCTTCGAGTGAACATGATTTTCAGTTTTTAAGAAAGTTGTGAAGGGGTGAAAACTAAAAAAAAAATCAAAAAACTACTAGATTTTATGTATTAAAGCGCAAAGTGCACGTGCCAAAATATCCACTCTTCCGCTCCAAAAACTGAAAGCGGCAACAGAAATATGTAAATTCAAGTTATTTGGAACTGTTTATATTAAAGCTTGCTAATTTCCCACATATGTAACGGTAAATGCGCGAATATAATCGATAATTAATTTTTGTAACAGTTCTTTTGGTTCATCCGCGTGGGCAGCGATGCTGAGGGGCTTTGCTAGAAAACCCAACTTTCAGTGGCAGCAAAAATCGACCGATATGGATGTAAATTAGCATATCCACTATCGCAACCAGAAGTTATACAATATTTACGGAAATTGGATTTAAACGCCGCGCAACCACTGCTTGTTCCAGTTGATACAAGGATGGCGTTTTTGTGTATTTTCGTTAACTAGACCGTGCCCGCTTGATTACCTAACGGCAACGAATTCAGGAAAGTCATATTGGTCAGTATGCTAATCTGTGACTTGGCAGCGCCTTAGTCGAAGCTCGCAGAAGGAAAACGGAAGCAGGAAGTGCGACAATTTGTCGACCCAGATTGGCACGGAAACATCGAAAGCCTTTTAAGACTGCGAGACTTTAGAGCGACAACACCGATATTAATTCGGACCAGATGGTAAGCGTTGCTTACCATCTTGTCTTGGTGACTTACCGCCAAAGATATCCATTTCACAGGCATGGCTAAAATCGCGCACTGAACGATAACGAATACAAAATCACGACAACTAAAACGGAATGGCGCTCTGTCCGGAAGGTCTATGAAGAAACTGATGTCCAATTGTCGCGTATTCCGCCGTATACATTCTAGGCTAACGGGATCCGCATAGCTTGATCTGGTCGCGTACATGACTTTATTTGACTGCCCCCCGTACACCAAAAAATAGAGGAGGCAGAAGGAGGGATTGGTTAAGTAGGGTACCGGTTTACCGACTCCTCTTCTGCTAGCTAACGTAGCGACGCGCTAAAGAAGCGGTTGATTTTTCGAAACAATTTTATTCGATAACGTTTACAGAAATATACATAAAAAGAGCAACGAATTAACAAAAATATACGTTTTGTAGTCTCGGTTATTATTAGCACAAAATAGGTGATTTGTTCTCTCGTTAACAGCTAGAAATTCACAGATCGGTTTGGCCTCGAAGTGGACTGGACATATTGTTGCGATGGATTCAGTTCCATATTTAATATTAAGGCCCAGGCTCATAAGAAATCGGGCATCCAACCAGCCCTTAGAAGCGCTACAAGAATGGACGCGAAATACTGTTATTTCTTGGTTCCCTTGATCTCCTCCAGGTCCTTCTGGAGATAGTGCAGCACGTAGTGCAGAACAACGTCGTAACAGTACTTATACTCGGTCTAGGAAATCACACTCAAGTTGACTGTTTAGTTAGTGAATGATACGGACTCACAATGTTCTCGATCAATTGGGGCCGGTGCCTGCGAACTGTCCGCACCGCCTGGAAAATGTCCACTTCTCCATGCTGGATCACCTGCTCTATGCAGGCATTCGCCGAACAGTAAATACCGCATCTACTCCTCCCGTCTCTAGAAAATGCAGGAAGATTGACATGGCAAAAGTGATCAGTTCGCAGCACTTACGGGGAGACGATGCAAACGGGCCCATACTCAGTGCGCTGCCTCCACTTCTCCACCATATTCATCAGCTCTACCAGGGAGTTGGTGGAGGTGGGCACCTTGTGCCCCATTGGCCAGCACATCAGCTGGAACAGCTGCACGTTCTTAGGGGGCGCCTTCACTCCAGCCATCAGTTCAGTGAGCGAAATGACCTGAAAGAAGTTTTCCTTCAATTTCCTCGGAGGTTATGCCAAAATTTCATGTTTCCCGTCCCGTTTTTGCTCATTTGGACAATGCTCAAGAACGCTCATTTGTACGTCATTCTAGGCAGAAATATATGGTCTTTTTAGAAAGTGAACCATGGATGGGTAAATGTTGGCAGTTTTCTCAAAAAATGCTTGAATTCAAGAAGTTTTACATTTGCGTGCTTTTTTTTCTCAGTTTCTCAAGAACCATTCGAGTCACAGAATTCATTTTGGCATCGTTGGATAGAGAATTGAAAAGTCGATTCAGTCGCAACAACGTGAGTGAGGAAATTCAAGTAGTTTTGACCCAGAAAGCGAAATTTGAATATCAGACACTTAGGTGCAAGATTATGCCAAAATTCCATGTTTTCCGTCCCGTTTTTGCTCAT